AAAACAGTGTGCCGAGGTGTTCTGAAAAACAACTATTTTTCTTTTTAGTTGTGGCCCAGAAATGGTTTTGCAATCTCAAAGCTGCTTCAATATTTACGAGTTTCTTTTGACTTTTGCAAGCTTTCCAAAGTGCTTTTTTTATTTCTTCTGCATTTTTGCATTTCTTGACAATTATACTTATGTTATATATTTAACTTTTCGGAGCCTAGATTATTTTAGCTTCAACACAACCCCTAATATTTATTTGGGTTCCTACATGGTAACGGTTCATTACATGCGAAATCTCAGTTCGCCTATTAATTAATTTTATCCAAATGATATTCTCACGGCCGCACTGCTGTTACTTTATTTGGGAAGATCGAAAGTTTTTCAGTGTAATGATTTTGATTGAACATTTCAGCTTCGTTGATGAAAACTTACCAGTTTGGAAAATTGACCTTAGTAAATAAACACTAATTTTTTTATATATTTTTTTTAAGAATCTTATCACATTTATTTACTTTCATTTTAATTACAAGACTTTATTAATAAATCTGTTTACTCTCATTTAATTTTATGTATTTATAGTGTTACATAATTAGATAATTACATTTTTTTCTTGCCATTTTTAATAACTTACGCTACAATTTTATTTATTCATATATTAAATTTTAATTTATATTTATTTATAGTTATCCTTTAGTGAAGTTACTACTAAATATCAAATGATCAAATTGTTTACTTGTAAATATATGTGTTTTTGTTAATGGTATTCAACTACATATATTTCAAATTTGCATTTAATTTTTTGAGCTTTCATTTTTTTCTCTTTGCATTCGTTATATGAGTTAAATCATATTTGAGGACTTCAAATAAAAAAAACAATTTTTTTGTTTCATTTTTTTCTTTTCAATTTTTAGTTAATTGCATTTTACAATGTGTTTCTCTTCACACCTAAATGTGTTAAAAACAGATTTGAAATTATAACAGTTGTATTTGTAGTTTATATATGTAATTTTTTTTAATGCTAAGCCCCTCGCATTTCATGTATTCATTATCTAATCTTTATCTGCATCATCATCATCATCATCATCATCATCATGTGATTGTCATACAAAACATTTCACATAATTTTAATATATTACAATTATAATTTTTAGAGAACAATTTGTAGCAATTTCGACTTATAATAAATTTTTTTTTTTAATGTTTAAACTATTTTTATTATATAAATTTTCCATATATACTCTCGTCATGCATACGTTAATAGGTGTTTATTAATTAATATTTTCATTCATTTCCACTTTCACAATCTTAAATTACTTCTATTACTTAATAGGCAATATTTAAACTATGTTTATGAACTATATATTATTGGACAGCTGAGAAAAGCATTTACAAGTGTGTGTGTGTGTGTGTCGGTTAAAGGAAATGAAATAAAATTGTATTATCTTGTTGTTGATAATTATCAAGAGTTTCTTTTTAAGGAAAGCTCAGAAAAATATATTAATTTTTTTCCCCGAAATTCAACCATTTTAATCATTTTCACACAAAATATTCAAAAAACTAAAAAAAAAATATTTTCAATTATTACCAAAAATTCCTTGGACTCAGTTGTTTATTTTCTTCGAAATTTTCCGATAAGAAGCAGCAGTGTAAAGTTTCAAAAATACTAAGTTCCAAATGCAAAAATAATTTAAATAGAAAAATATTCGTCGCTTCTTATTTATACATTTGTAAATGTGTTTTTAAGAGATATTGATTTACTTACATGGATTTTGTACACTAGTATGCTAATTAAATTGTGAATTCTTCTTCTTCTTTTTTTTTTTTGTTTTTCGACTTTATATAAGATAATTATTTTGAAAATTTAGCTTAAATTTCTATTGCTAATTTAATTTTAATTTAACTGTAATTAATTTCAATTATTTGTATAACTATATATGTATGTTTATGTTAGTATATCTCACTATTAGCAGGTAAAATTCACATTGATTTCTCATTGTTGTTGTTGTTCTTGTTGCTGTACTTTTTACTATAGATATATTGTATATATTAATATTAATATTAATATTTACTCCTATATATATATTATATATGTATATATTATTTTACCGATCAATATTATTGCTTTTCATGAACATTAGGAAAACAAAGCGCCATTATTAAGTCTATAATACATATATTTGAATAAAAGTTTTGAGGCTTTTATATAGAGAGTTTCGACAACAGATAACACAAAATAGTGAAATAAAAAACCAAAAAAGATTAATTTAAACAGCTAGAAAGTCAAATGAATTGTGTATAGAAATCAAGCGAGTATACATCATGTTGAGCGAGTCTTGCGAGTGGCGTCGTGTTCTGTTCAAATAGTGTACAATGCCATAGGGAACTTCGAGCCGAGTACAGATAATAAAGAGTTCTGAAATTAAAAACAGTTTTCTATAGTTTTGAAAACCTCTCTGTGTACTTGTATTATGAGAAGTTTTCAAAATAATTTTGAATGTTAAAAGAAAACCTGATTAACTGCTGATAAAAAGTAAACATTTACGGATGTAATAACAGTTTTTCACCTTACTGTGATTAAGTGAAGAGCGTATATTTGTTTGAAAAAAGCACCATGGAGAAAGCATGCTACTATTAGTCCATCAAAATTAAAAGACCATTCCCTATTGGCTGACCTCATCAAACTTATGGCAAGAAATGAGAGAATGTAATTTATTTTCAAAATCCTGATTGCTCTTCAACTAACGTAGTGCCGAGCTTAATTAGTTAAATCATTTAATATATGTAAACGGATAAAAATTAAGTAACTAAAACTTGTCTTACTGCAATACTGTACTGAAAATTTATAAAATCGTTTAATACTACAGTCGCGTGAAAAGAATGACTACAAGCAAATGAATGAAACATTTTCTGTATTTAAAGAAGCAAATACTATCAAACCAATATGCGTATTTTGTAAACAAAAGTACAAAGCTGATTTTTGCATTGCAACTACGGTTATAGTCCCGGCAATCAGGCAGGAAAATGTTTCCAGAATGAAGCACAGCGATACTTTTGTTTCACTCTCACCAATGATGCACTAATCCAAAGCATTAATTTCGGAAGCCAAGAATTTATTTACTTAAATAACTTTGCTTTAGAAAGATATTGGCAACATTAACATGATTTATTATTTTAAACGCAAATCGAATCAGTAAATAATTTTGATATTAAAAAAATATAAACAATTATTTTATAAGGTCACTATATTTTAATCCACTAAATGGTAAAATAATGGAAAAAATGAAAAAAAAATGATGATGCAATAATTTTCGTGCAGCTCAATATAATTTTTGCAGTCCAATTGCTCCGGAAGGAGTTATATATACATATAGAAATATGTATATGCCACACATGCTTTACTTCGCTTAAAGTTTAATTGAAATGTATAAGTTTTCTTGTTTTTACTGTAATATAGACAGCAAATGCACTCATATTTCCATAACTTCGCAAATACAAAATATGAAGGCGAAGCTGAAACTACAGCAGAAGGTATAAATGTTTCCAAGGTGTTTAATAAAATTTTGCAGATATACAATAAACAAAAAAAATTCTCTAAATTGAAAATAAGTTTAATTTTTAATAAACATAAAATAAGTTAAAAAATATTAATGTTTACACGTGCTAAAACAAATAAATAGAGAAAAAACCAATGGCTTCTGCACTCACCTGCATTTTGTCTCAATGTATATAAAAGTCTCAATACTTTCAAGCGCGTTTGTTTTGCGTAAAATGCGTATAACACAAGCGAATATAAACAATGATTAAATATGCTATTTTTTATGATTAATATTTTTGTTTTTTGTTTAAATTTATTTAATTCAAATTTATATTACAAATATTTACAAATAGTTCAACATTAAACAAAGCTCATATGCATCTGCTTACAAAATACATACATATCGATGATTATTTGAAGCATTAAAAACTGAGACATACACAACTTGATATATATTGCTACAACATGTATTTGTATTTGTATGCGTGTATGTATAGGCAGGCTGTCTGACATATCGAAATAAAAATATGTATGCATATGTACACTTGTTAAAAATGTAAAACAAAAGAGTACTCTTACACGCTAAAATCGCTAGAAAAACAACCTCTACTCTATATATGTACATAAACATATATGTCTTAGTAATGCTAACAGCTACCTCTCTTGTCATTACTAGCATTAATTAGCTTTACTTAACTCTATGCCGGTTGCAGCAGCTAGACATTTTCTTTTTTTTTTTTTGAATTTTTTTCGTTCGTCCAGCCGTGTCTTCTAGGCTTGAAGTTCGTTATTCTACTTAGTTTCCACTTTTTTAAGAAACTATTACAATTACTAAATCTTTTTCATATAAATTACAATCTTTTTTATTATAAATTTCAGTTTTTTGCCTAAAATTAAGCACGCGCTATTTGCTTGTGCTTGCTTTCTTTTAAAGTGTTTTATTTTTCGTCATTAGATTTTATAAATTTTAAAAATTTCTTGCTGTTGCTCATTCATTTTCGTATTTTCTACTGATTTCTGTGTTAATTTTAGTTGTTTATTTTTGTTTGCATTTCGAGTGTTTGCTGGTAGGTGGTTTTTTGTTTGGTGATTTCGTTTAGAAATATTTCACTGTCACTTAGCATACTTTCAGGCAGGCTGGCAGGCAGTTTGCTTATTCCTGTTTACTTACATTGAGTTTGAGTATATCAGTTGTATGTATTTATGTATGTAAATGTCTATGTTTGTTGAGGTGTGTGTATATATAAATGCTGTTGCATGTTGTATATGTATTTAGTTTCGATATCATTTCATTACTCTATGTGCTCGTAAGTAAATTCTAAATTAACAGTGTTTTTTTTCTTGTATTTTTTATATTTCTTGTTTACTCTCTTGCATTTTCGTTTCTTTTAATATGTTTAAAACCGTCTGTTTTTTTTTTTTGCTTACATATTTCACTTATTTATTTTTTTGTTTTGTTGCTGTTTCTTTTGTTTTATATATTTTTTTTATTACTGGCAGGATCTTTTTGTTAGTAACTTTTCTGTTGTCGCCTCTTCGACTCAAGCCTTTCTTTGTGTATTTTGGAGTATCGGTGTATGTAAGTGTGATGTGTGCTTGCTGCTGATATTTCATGCTTTGTTAAGGTGGCTCTTGTCCACTGCTGGACCCGCTCTTTGTGTCAACTGTGGTTTCTCGATCACTCCAGTGAGCGCAGTAAACTCAACAATTCATCTTTATATCATTCTCACCTCTTTTTTTGCTGTACAATTGTCACATATTTCTTTATTTTTTATTATTATTTTTTTTCATATTTTATAATTTGTTTGTAGTCTAATTTACCTGTAGAATATTTTAGTTACAAGAATTTTTAGCAAAATAAAACTGTTAAAAATACGAAAATATTGTCTTTCAAAAGCTTAAAAATGTCAGTCTTTAGTGGTTGGTCGCACTACCTGAAAATAGAGATTGAAGGCGAAAGATGTTAGAATTTCGAAAAAAAATACATCAAAATTGATTTGCCTTTAAAGTGGTAAAATATTTTTTTTTACGTTATACATAAGTTGACTTAATTGGCCTTTTGGAAATATTTTTTTAAAAGAACTGCTTTCATAAGAAAATCATTTGAAGTATTTAAGTTCTAAAGGCTTATTTGTTAGGGAGGTTTGAAAAGTATACCTCAGCGAGAAATGCAAAAGGAAAGAGAATGCTCTGAATATCATTTATATTGTGTATTTAATGTCTCCCTTGACTTTAGGTCAAATATTTAGGTCATTAATCAGCAGGTAGATATGCTTGTTCCAATAGGTAAAAAAAGAGACCGACCTGCCATACAGCAGACCTTCTATTTTTGATCAAACCGAGTAGTTGGGAGCACATATTTAAAGAATAAATTTAGAAGACGTGTAATTGGTTAGCTAATATATTAATATGATGGCTTTAGATTAAATATCAGACGAGTGTTAAATATTCGCTCCCAGCCGAATTTAGTCATAGTAAGAATATTTTACTGATTTTCTTATAAAATATATTTGTGAATGGCTCGGCAAATTCTCAACCAAGTCTCAACCAAGTCTCAATCAAGCCAGCTTGTAATTGGTTTTATTTTTTTTTTACCGTTTAGAGAAATGTGGGAAAGGAAATTTCAAATATTCCGATTAATAATTTAAACTTACCTGGCGGTCAGACCACAGGCTCATTACTATAGACGTCATTCGTATGCTTGCCACTCGCTTTCTCTTTCATATTGCATTGCTGTTGTTAAAAAGAAAAATGAGAAAGAGAAAACCAAAATTAGAAATAAATCAAAATTAACAAAAGACTTTTCGATTGTTTAATAAACATGCGGCAATCACCGATATTCTTCATTCTCTGTAAAAATGTTAGTGCAGAAAACCAAAAATTAGTAATGAGAATACGTAAATTAAAAGAATTCAATTTTAAATAAAATATTATACCTCTTGCAACGGTAAACAGCTCGAAAACGTTAATCATTTTTATGAAAAAGAAGGAAGTCTGAGCATTTGAAACAGGCTAATTTATGTAGTCAAGCAAGAGAAATTGAATTTTATATTCTAAGTATTGCTCGAACACATTGGCAACACCTGTCGGAGTTCACGTCCAATTGACAGAACAAACACACAAACCCTCAACGGCAAAAGCACTTGCTTACACGTACAATAACCAAGATGTTTTAAGGTCATCACGTGTATATTTATAACCGTGACCGCTAGCTAGCAGCCACCCTTAGGTAGTTTCGTTCAAAAATTGGCCGGAGGCCCAGCCAAGCGTTGTGTTACTCAATACAAGTTGTTAACATTTTTGTGAATGACATAACATATAAAATTAATTAAAACAATTAGCAACGTTAAATTTCACGCGCGTAAATCTTTCTTAACTACAAACACATACACAACAGCAACAAGGCCAGCGGGGGTTTATTTGTATTGAGGGGTTTGGAGGTGGAGCTACCAGCAGTGGCTAGAAGAATATTCTCTCGTATGCTCGGAAAAGTGCCAAAGGCAAGTGTTGAACATTTACTCCACTGGCCTTTTTGAGCCATAATTGTGATGTAGTTGTTAAAGGTGCTCTGTTTCCCTTTGTTGCACAGTGGGTCGGGAATAAGTAAATAAGTGCTAAATGCTAAGTAAGTTTAAAAAGTAATTCCCAACACTTTTATCACGCTTTCAAAAATATATTCTGATTATTTATCCCTTCATCTATTTTATATAATAATACAAAATTTAGAAAGAAATGCCATATTTTAGTTGAAGGTTTGTTATCTCACGCTCCATCTTTGTTTAAAGTTTCTAATTTAATATAGTTTTTAAAAATGGAACACTACGCCACAAACATATTTTCGAAACACTTCTTCATTTATGGAAGGATCCCAATTTTAATACTTCACTAAATTTTGCAATTCAATAACGTTATAAATATCAAGCGGTAACACTTTAAAAAATAAATTTAAAAACAACGAATGTGATTTTTTTTAAGTAAAAATATGAATAATAATTATATGTTTTATAAAAAAAAAAATAACTTACCCTCAATTCATTTCTAAGCAGTTTTCATTTTTACAGCGAAAGAAAATATGGAAATTAAAGACTCACCTCTTGTTTGGCTTGCCATTGCTTCATCGCTGACTTGTATTTCTCGAATTCATTACACCAATGCGAGTAGATTTTCTGATAGTCGTTCTTCTTATTTGGCGGCGTACATCTACAACAGAGAGTAATAAAAGTGAGTAAAGTAAATGAAAAAAAACGAAGAAAAGGTGAGATAATAAAATTTTTATTTAAAAATAAAACCTTTCCGAGACTTGCGAGCGAACGAACAAAATGACGAAGCAAAATGGTTGTAGCAACAACAACAACAGCCACAACCCATCCAGCAATGGAGTAGCAATGAAATGGTGTAAAGAGAATTAACAAATAATTGCTGGAAAATAAATTAACAGACGTTAACAACATTGATGCAAAGACGTAAAATTGGCGAGTGGAAGCAAGCAAAATTGATGAAATGGGAGGAAAGTGTAGGAAGGTGTGAAAGTGCCACATATAAATATGTACACGGGCATAAAGGACACAGTGAGCGTGATACGCACACACACACACACACACACACATACACACACGTACTCGCACATATACCGTTACGAATCGCGGACAGTCGGGCGCATAGAAAACGAGCAGAAGGAGATTAAAGTTGTGGCTAGAATGTAAAGTTATTACATGCATACATACATACATGCAGGTATAGCAAACGGGGAATGTTGAAAGAAAAATGGTGAAAACTGAAATTTATCACATTCAACGCTCGATCACCGAGCAGATTGCATAGGAAACGGAAATTAACCGCTCGGAAGGATGGGCGTTCATAATTGTGCGAGAAAGTGTATGCGCGCATGTGTGTGCGACTGAGTTTGTAAATGAAAGCATGAAATGAAAAACGAAAGCGAAAATTAGAAATTGTAATGAAAATGAAAATAGCAGCTTGTCACAAACGTAAAATTGAATTTTAATTAAAGCGTAAAGACAGCGGGGTATGGCAAAGACGCGTGTACCTCCATATGAGAGTGCGCCTGTGATTGTGGTGCACATATTAAATACACAAGTGATGTAGAAAGAATCAGCTTGTGCTATTTATTCATTTGTAAATGCTGAAAATCTACCACGTAAACGCCGCCTTCAAGCGTAGACTGGCGCCCCGTAGCGCCTTAAGGTATGCTAACGTGTTTCAAGACTCACAACTGCAAACAAATTTCTTGAGTTATGAGTTTGTAAATTATTTGTGTATCGTATTTTGTATTTTTAGAAATTTCGCTTGGCGTAGGTTGTTGATTCAAAATCTTACGCGCAAAATCACAAATTAATTAAATTGTATAAAATTCTAAGTAATTTCATTGCTGTAAATGAAAGTGACTACCTGTCTGCTTCACTTTTTCAAACACATTCTTAGATATAAATACAAATAATTCTTATTACTTTATAATATCTTTTATTTATTAGTTTTCTACTCACCTATGCGCGTCCACATTGACACTGTAGCTGCACAGCAGTGTTCCATCCAAGTAACTGTCATATCGTCCGCCATCACCCTCATTCACCGATATAATCACCAAACCACCCTCTGAGGTTTCAATGTATTTGGCGGGACTGTAATTTATTTCATAACTGTAAATAAATTGACGAAAATATGTTTTTAAATAAATGTATCAACAATATGAACTTTCATACTCATTCAGTGCCTTCAAATGTTGACATTTGTTACCCTGAGGTTTCATGAATTCTGATTTTTTGCGATTTCCTCGAGAGTGTAAAACTTTTGCTTCAAGAGCTTAATAATTTTTTTATTCACAAGAAAACAACTGAATGCGATAAATTTGTATTTAAAGAAGGTTATATTTTAAAAATTTTGTTTTTGTGGAAGAAAGAGCCGCAGTTAATATAAGACAATGACGAATAAGTTATAAATTTTTTTTAAATCAGGACCCTTTAGTGACAAATAAGTGACGCTTTATGGATTGGTCAGCCATCAGTTATGTGGAAACTGAAAGGCTTTTAGGCAGACCAAATTCGGTTTTAATGCACAGAAAGGAGGTCTCTAGCGTCTCAGATAGGCGCACCCTTTGTAGTGCTGACATTGACAAGAAACACCATTCTGCTTCAACCAAAAGCACAGGAAAAATTCGACGTCGGATAACTGCAATCACCACAGACAGGTAGAACTGGCTGATGACCTTTGGTTTTAGAAAAAACCAAAAAATTAACTGGTATGACCAGGGTTGTACTACCGCAGGGAGCGAAAAAAGGCTTAATAATTTTTTTTTTATAATTGGCGCTTTGTAGCCGCTAAAGCGATTTTCGGCCGAGCTCCTCCTCCAACTTCTGGTTTTGCGTCCTGATGTTTTTCCAACAAATGGAGGAACCTACCGTTTATACTAAGCCGCTTCCGAAGGGCTGATGGTTTTTTATGAGGAGCCCTTATTTAATTTCAGAAATACAATCGGGTGGGTTGGCATTCCCTGCGAGGAGTGACCGCAGTTTGAAAATTTAGCTTCATTTTTTATTTTAAATTAATTTTCTAAAGCTCTTGATACTAGTACGGCGCTTTGGCAAATATAATCGAACGAAGCATGTCTCTTAATTGGAATCTGAGTTTGTTATGTCCAAGGTTAAGGTCACTGTCCCAGTGATTTTAACCTCTCCACGAAAAAACAGTTTTTAATCTTTGGTCTCAAAGATTTTATTAAAACTGTGAACTCATAGAATATTTCTCCACCTCCTTATAAGCCGCTATTGTGTTCGCACAGAAAGGTATTGCCAGTAATTTAGAAACATTTGTATATTTTGTTTTTACCGGAGGTAACAGTGCGGGAAGCGGCGGTGTTTGCTTTTATTGTTGTTATAATCTAAACTTGAATTAACTCTTTCAGTGACTCATGAGTTTATGGAAATGCTTCCACCACTCTCTCAATATTGCTTAACAAACCTTTTAAAATATATTCCCTACCGCCGTTTTTTCGGCTCACCCATGCATGCTGTCAACAATTGAGAAAAGTGCGCGTGCTGACAGCTCGCTTCCCGGCAAAACTTCCTTGCGCTGCACTGATAAACTGCCACAACCGCTGTCGACAATATTTCGGCACATACGAAAAAGCTTTCTAATTTCTGTCATTGAAATCAATTTTTACTTGCCTCAAAATCGTGCATCAAAATCTATTTCTCTTGCATTTAAGCCAAGTTATGCCAAAAAACTTTCGGCAAACTTCTCAAGCGTCGACGCATTGGAATTCGCTCAACTTCATTTCCGCATTACACACAATGCATTTACGCTGACGAACAGTCGTAGACGAAAAAAAGAAAACAGTAGCAAACAAAGAACGCAAAAAGCTTAAATACGGGAACTAGACGCAAGCGGATGGAAAGGAATGGAGCGAAGAAATTGAAATTGAAAAGTTTCCTTTGCTTCGATGAATCCCTCGTGCTTTTCAGTAAATGCCAATGCGATGTTAACTTAGATAAAAAGTTTTTCCATCAAATGAAACCATAACCTTAAAATACGTGGCTGAAAATGTCTTGGAAATGTTGCTGACATCACAAACAAACTACAGCATTTGTAATACATACGCCAGAAGCTAAACACAGTTAACTGTGGACTGGTGAGGGTTGGAGGAACGGTAGCACTTTAACCGCTGTAATGTTATGCTTTTTCGTTTACAACATTCTAAAATCGGAAAATGCGTCTAGCCATCGACGACGCGACTGCGAAGCAAATAAGCGTGAACGCCAAAAAGCAGACTTCAGCAATTTGAAGTGTCAATTTACCGCTGCGTAGACAGGAGCTAAGCTGGATTTTTCCTATTTGGTGTATCTACTTCTCATTGTTACTCACACCACTGACTTAGCGTGCTGCCATTCCGGGGCTATTGACTCACTTCCATTTGGAGTTTTGAAGTAATATACATTTACTTGCTGATTTTATTATTTGCTGCTGATGCTTTTCTTCTTCGCGTTGCTGTAGCCACGTCCGTATATATGTGCATGTCGTCTTCAATAGCCCATCAGGAAAGTAAATTATCGTGCGCTGCCGCGGTTGCAATATCGCACCAGACACGGTTCCCTTCCCCGCTTTAAGTCAAGCCAAATTCTGCTGAGCGACCAAAAGGCGGCTATACTTCTAGCATTCCACTGTATGGTTTTGTGTGTTGTGTTTTTTGTTTTGGTATATGTATGCCCGAAACAGCTGTCGTCTCTGAGGAGCCATTCAGTAGTGTAATTTTCAAGTATTTTATATTAAGAACAAGAAAAAAATTGTTTGTAATATATTTCCAAGTTGCATACTTTATGGCGTGCCAGCAAATAAACAGGTGTTCAGCACCTCAACCGTACAGTAAGACACATACCCTCAACCCTTAGCTACAGTGAAATTTTTTCATTGATAAACTCAATTTCAAAGGCGACAAGCATAAATTGCGAGGGTTGCAACGGTGTATTAGTTTGGTAATTTTCAAATGGTGGGGGCAATTCCTTTCCCGTCTTTACGTTTGAATGTAAGCATGTTTAAAGATTTCTTAACAGTTGTTTCGATTATTAAAAAGTTATGAAATTTCCAAAGAAACTGTGTTATATTTTCAATTCTCTTGCATATTTTTGGGGTGACAATTCTCTTGGCTGATATAGCTGACATTAGGGCAGCACTGCTTTGGTATCAATTACAAACTACACCCATTATGCATTTTTAATGGCGGCAACGCGCTCTGAAGCTTAAAAATAATACTTTCTAATAATACTGAACTCCCGCGTGCATATTTAAAAGTAGAGATTTGGGTAGTTCTTGGAAATATATTCTGAGCACTCTCGCAACATTTGTCACCTCACTTGAATTGAGCATACTTTTAGGCCAAGATTTTAATGCATTCCATAGTTAGTCCGAAAAAAGGGAGGAGAAGGGAGCAACTTCGACAGTTTCAATAAATAAAAAGGGTTTAATTTTAGCTCAAAATAGCTTAAGAATAATGAAAACGAAAAACTATCTTGGGTAATAGTGAAGACTTTACACTTTAAAAAACCATTAAATTTATTTAGAAATTAGTTTCAGAGTCAATGTTTATTCGAAGTTCATTCCCAGATATTTATTTTACTCAGGTTTAACAGAAAATCTAAAATGAAAGCAATCGAGTGTATATACGCAATCGTGCTTGAATCAGGCCCGTTCAAACCAGTTGAAATATCACAAAGACTAAGGGACCGACGGACAACTCTACTCGCCATTCGATGATCAAGCCGCTATGATTTTTGGTGAGTATACGTGTATGCCTTTTCCTTTTGGTACTTATATATTTCGGTCCAAAACTACTAAACAAATTAATGTTCATGAAAAGTATACAAATCAACATAAAGTAGCTTTATTCAAGGGCAGAACTAGTTAGAAGCAAGTACCGAACTCTGCTAGAAAAGTTCAATTAAAATATTTCATAAATAAAATTTTAATACAGAATTGAATTGGTTTTCGACTGAATTTGCCATTAACGAAAATTCTACTAGCCTAATAGGTATTCCATTTTCCAGCTCTCGGTAAAGTCCTCTTTAAATTAAATTCTTAAAAATTCGTTTTTATTTCAAGTTCAAGATAAAATAGAAAGAAATATTTAATGTACTCACCGTCCTCGCTCCGTTGAATGATGATACCAACGCACCGACTTTTGCCTCAGCACCTCTGGAATTTTAACAAAGCACGACAGATGCAGCGTCTGACCGTACGAGGCGGTAATACGTTTTTTCAAAACGCTCGTGTCACAAATGCCGGAAGTCTCATTGGCAACATCCTGCGGCAGGCAAACACGAAAATAAATGAGAACGAAAGCAAGAAAAAAATTAATGTTATTCTGCTTAACAGTAAATATTGAAAAAAATGTATTTCTGGCCAAAAAATGAGAGATAAAAAATAGATTCATTGCAAGATAATGAAAATGTAAAACCGAAATGTTGATTGAGCGGAGCGCGTGTAAAAGTGTAAAAGTGTCACGTGAAATGTTGATTTAAGCATTGAATGGCATATTTGCCTTGACACAAGCACATTTACATTTTTACATTATTTTTTACACTCTTTCCGCTTCATTACATTCGCACTCACCTGCAGCAGACCCAGCTGATATGGCTTGCAGGTGCTAGCATCCTTGTCCCAGCCACAATACGGATCGGCTACACAACGGAAGCACGAGTCGTAGCGGCGAGCGCACATTGCCAAATCGATTTGCTTCACACTATGCTCCATAGCTAAGTACAATGAGCCCGTCTTCTGACTCAAACCCATTTCGCGTATCGGCTCATTCTCGCCCACCTCCAGTACGTCGAGGAGATTGGAGAAACGTTGACCGTAGCGTATGAATTGGACAATTTTGTAAATGAGGCCGGTGCTGGTGCCGACAAAATATACCAGATACTCTTGATTTAGTTTATCGATGCGAATTCTGGGGGTGAGAAGAGATGAAAAGAAGAAAGTTAAGAGTAAATAAATATGGATGTGGAAAGGTGAAGCATACAATGCTGTTGGCTATGAAAACCCTAAATTATTGAAGGTTGTAACTGTACTTTTTCACACCTTTTTTTGCTTTACATTGCTATTTTTTCTGGTGAACTCTTTTTTTTTTTTCTTTGACTGCTGCATGTTGGCGCTTAATTAAAATGTTTCGCGTAGATTGTTACTCTGCAGTGACGATAAATTTTTGGCTTTGACCCAGTTCCTGGGCACAAAAGGCACCAAATTTTTTTTGCTGCAGTACTTTAACTTAATTATGAACAGAGTTTAAACACTATATGTACGTACGTATGTACATACGTATATGCATATGTTCACGCGCTAGCTTTAATTTAAAATTATTAATAAAAATCTCACAGCTGAATGTCTTCAATTAAGCTTTTTGCATGTCATCATTTTTTATTCGTTTCAACAATTTTGAGCTAAAAAATGAGGCCTAAAAGTATATTACGGTAACATAAGAAATTCCAGACTCAGTGTAGTGAATTTTTTTAGTCTTTTTTCCCCCAGCACATCAAGACAATTAAACATTTTATTGTCCAATTGTCTAAATTAAATTACTTTAATAAATTTTTCATATATTTCGTGCTTATTTCACTTTAATGCTTAACTGTCATTTGTGTGCGGTAAAACCAAGACTAAGACTAAAAATAGTGCAAAGCTTGCACTTGCCTTTGGCTAGTCAAAAAAAGTTGATAGCGAGAATTAAAAAAGGTAAAAACGGAAACCGGAATTATGTCAGCGCGCTATGCAAAACTATAGAAGAGTATACATAAAGCTAGCTGCGACCGTTAGCGAGGACATTAACAGCCTTTTGATTAATTTTTGGCAGCTTCAAAGCCCATTCTTTCTTTTTCTCACATCCCACTCATACATTATGTGAGCAGTTTGCAAAGAAAGATAGTGTCTTTGTATGCAACTTGTGCGGTTTTATTTTTAAAGTAGTGTCTTTTGTATTGCTAGCGCAACAGCAACAGTATCAGTTATAAATTTAATACTAATAAATGATGTATGCATCATTCTTTTTCTTAATCGCCTTCACTTACTTGTCCACCACCAGTTTGGTTAGTATGATATCCCTTTTATAGAAAACTGGATTGCCAAACTCATGATCAACTGCTTTGTCCATTAGTGGATGTTTGCGTATGAAATTCAACACTGAATCTGGCAGCGCTGCTGTGTCGTTGATGCATGTACCCGGCCGTGGTTCGGGCACTTTGGAGTTCAGTACCGGCAGCCAGGCGGAATTCGAGGTCGCTTGCTCTTTGAATTTGCCTGAAGGATTATAGAAAAGAGAAAAGTAATTAAATATTTATTTACTTCATAATTTTTTTTTATATGTTTTTCTATTTTGTGGGGTAAAATATAGCAAAACATAGGGCCAGAATTACAAAAAAAAAAAAAAAAAATTAAAAGACAAAGCTAAGTTCTTCATTTTCGGTTATTTTTATTTGCTTATTTTTTTTACTCTATTTTGTCTGTTTAATTAAATTTTTTATTTTCAGTATGTGCATAAACTGCGAGTTAAAATTCTCAGTAAGCATTTTTATTTTTATTCAGTGTATAATCTATTATTAGTCAGCTCATTTGTTTATTTATTTAATTATTTAATTTCAAAGTTTTACTTTATTGTATATAATTTTTTTCTCAATTTTTCATTTTATTTATTTTCCATATATTATTTTTGATAATAAATTTTTACATCTATAAATCATACAGCCACAAATTCATAACTATCGCCATTAATCTTAATTTCCTAATTCAACAACTTCCTGTTATTTCTCTTAATGATCATTTAATATATTTCCCTTCAACATTCTATCCCTTGCTGTTTACTTTTGCTATTTCTCGCAGACATTTATGTTGAGTTTTTAATTAATTACTGTGGTTACGTGTTTGATTTTTTTGTGGCGACTGAGTAAGCGTCCAACAAATTTTTGGCAGTGTTGCCAAATTGTCTGAAAATACTAAAGCAGCAAGTTTTTGCAAACACAAACAATTTCGTAGACTTTTTGGCTTGTATGTGTGTTTTTCTATAATTTCTATAATGAATTTTAAGCGCTTCCGCGTTACAAATTATTATTTCAATCATTAATTAACTTTTTTCGCAGTGTTATGTTTGAGAAAATGGGTTTAGTGAACTTCTAATACAAATATAATGAATACGTGTATATGAACTCTCTTAACCCTTTTAGGCGATTTTTTTGCATCAAGTTTTTACTGGTCAAATGATATACGACTTTGTTTTATTCTTTAAAAAAAAGTTGAGAGAAATATTTATTGCTTTGGAATTACCTTTTTATGATAAAATATATTTTTCTTTTTTAATTTAATTGATTCTTTATATGTTTGTGTATATATATGTATGTAGCGCCAGCGGCGTGCTGGAAGGAACACTAAGCACATTTGTGGCACAAGAATTAAACTACAATATTTTGCACCAAAAGGGTTGTCCATTGGAAAAATATACAAAATTTTAGTTCTTAGTTCAAACGTATTCACATACGTGTAGGAGACATTATACAAACGCATATGTAAATTTGTTTGTATGTGCGCGTATGTACCAATTACAATCGCAGTCATGCAAACAGCACGTCGTTGATGTAAACTAAACGTGACATTTGCTTACACATTTCCCACTTGTTGTTGTTGTGAATTTTTCCAAAGCCGCTTTCACGCATACTCGACACTCATACATATTAAGGTGTACACATTCACACACAGGAGTATGTATTTGTATTGTAAATGCGAACACTAGAAAACCGCTGCGCCGGATGTTGTTTGACTGTTGTTCATAGTTGTTGCTCTAATCGTTATTGCATGCGATGTGGTTGGGTGTAACATATTCCACTTTATCCGTCACCAAAGAAATAAATCTCTACTGAGTTGGTGGAAAAAATCTAGCTTCATACAAATATTTTATAAAAAGGAAATGTGCGAAAATTGCAGCAGAAAAAAGCAACACAAACGCGACGCGAGTCATAACGTAAGAGTGTGATAAAATTATGGTGAAACTGTGACAAAGTCCGCCTGGGTGGCACACAGTGGTATTCGTGTAAGATTGTTTGAATTCAATTTTTTAATAAGTGAATTGATTGAATTATGGGCCTAATTAGTTGGAGACTTAAGCGATTAAATGGCAGTCAATTTAATATTTACTTATTAATTTAGAAGAACAAAAATGTGATCTTAATTCGGAAAACATAGAGGAGTATCGTGGTTAGGACTGTCTAACTCAACGGCAGTGGCAATTTTAACGTGTAAGATATGCCACCAAAACTACATAACAAATGATCGTCCACTATCAAAATTCCAATAGGATAGGGATAACATGAATCCAGCCTCCTATGAGCTGCTTCTATGACTCCGATGCCTACACTCATCAGCTATGGAATTTTGATAAGATACTCATATGTGAAGAAAAATTGCGCTAAGCGGGCCACGTGAAAGGAAATGTTGTTCCGTCATAATAACACCCCACTCCAAACCTCTTCGGTAGCCTGTCGATAATTCTTAAATGAGTATTTTGGATTGGGAATTGGTGCCTTACCTACGTTGTTTTGAGCGATAAAACTATCGGGCGCGATCAGACGTGAGAGATGGGCTGTTTTAATTGTTTAGCTCTTCACGTTGCTACGGGAATCCAGAAATTGATTTGTTATTATTTTAATAGAGAAATTCATTTTTGTGACAGAGTGGCGGAAGACGACTAGTAAATGGTAAAATGGGTTTTAAATAGATTCTACCTTTTAAGACTAGATTTAAATTCTGGAATTTTACCAACGAAAAAAATGCCAAAGGGTGAAAGTTGGTAGTTAAAAAAATATGAAATTACAATAAAACTTTTCCTTCGAATATTTTGAAGTTACGAATGAAATCAGAAAATATTTTTAAATAGAATAATAATATTATAATGATAATTTTTATAAATAACATAATTTCAACCGATAGATATCTGATTAGAAAGAAAGGCAGAGAGACAGATAGAGAGAGAGAGAGAGAGAGAGAGAGAGAAAGAGAGCAAGTTTTAATACTAATTTCTCTTGCAGAGACACACCGTGTGTAAACTGGATGCAAAGTCGTAAAGAATTAGAATCAGTATTCGAAGCAACGTAGTGAAAGAGATGTATGTGAATGAAACGGAAACGGAAATGATTTCTGCAAAGTATGCGCAAAAATTAATGCGTTATTCATAGCAGCATGTTGTGTCAAGGAGCCACGCAATGGTACGTGGTTTTCGTTTTATAGCGCTCGTTCCGTTTTGCCCCACAATATGCTGAAAGTGTTGACAAGAAATGCTATAAGAAATGCTCTCCTTTTTTCCAAGGTGCATTTACGGACTCATGATGCGTATGAAAAATATTGAATGTAAGGAAATATGCGTAAAAATTGCAACAAAATGCATTTTCTACTTGTTGAAGCCGGCAATTCTAGTTTCTTATTATTGTAGTTATTTTTACAACATTTCTGCAATGTTTCTGCATTTGCAGCATCGCTAAAGGCTGAAAAAATATGTCGCCTCCCTTCATTTGCCCCTGGCCATTTCAGCTGGCTGCTGACTGTTTGGCGTGGCTGTCACGCACATTAAGTCACGTGAATGGAGATGCTCAGTGAATACGAAAAATGAATGCGCGGCAATAATAACACTGACAAAAAAGTTTCGACAACAACAGAAGTAGCAAAACATCAGCTAAAATGTAACGAGCTTTTCGCTTTGCGCTTCAACGGTGACAATGTCAGCGCTCTTTACATGCTGTTTACCGTTCGTTGGCGATTGCATGCAACAAAATATTCAGCACACGTAGAAATAAACGAAAAGAAATTTGCAAAAATGCCGATAACACTAGGAAAAAGCCAGCAGCGAAAGATTGAGTGCATCAGAAAAACTTATGCAAACAAGATACTATATACACACATATATATATATAAACAGTTAGAGGCAACGACAAACACATTAAACTGTATGTGTATGTTTGAGCATTGGAAATTACGAAACGAAAAATTCAACTGTAGCCTTTTCACAGTATATAAATTTCTGGTTGTAAAAGGAAACTGAAAATATAAAAATACATTTACCAAGTAAAGCATTTGGAAAATCTCGTTTTGCATTTAAAATATTTAAATTGGCAATAAAGCAAGCCACAAACCGCAATGCAGCACTTTTTTCCAACTTTATTGGTGTGTGTGAGCGCATGAAGAGATATGGACGTGTTGGTGCTTGCATTGGGTGCGAACGCTCGGTATTTTGAATTATTATGTTTGTGTTTTGTACCGAATGTGTGTGTGTGTGTGTGTATATACTACACGCAAACAGTGAAAAAATGTTTGCAACTTGTCCTACTTTGCTGCTGATATGCAATGGCTGTTATGAGATAATAATTTTCGTGTATGCATTTTTCTGTGAAAAATGTTCTCTTGCATAGCAAATATGCAAAATGGGAATATGAATTTTGCATTGACTATTTACGGAGATTTTTCTCTCACAACTATTTGCATTCCGATTGCAGCAAATAAAACCAATTTTGTCGCATTTCAAACACAGAGTCCGCATACACATGCATGCATATAAATGTATATGAGACAGGTTTATTTGCCATACATGACCAAAAATATATTATGCACATGCCTATGTACATATGCACGTGCCTATGTAAATTTTCAGTGAAATTTAGGAGGGGGGAGGGCAGTTTTTAATATGTGTTTTCGTCGAAGTTTAAAAAAAAAAATATCTTTAATATCATATTTAAATGTAGGCTTATGAAGCCATAATTCCAAATCCAAGACTATAATAAATTTATAAAAAAAAAAATTACACTAAATGATCGGCTCGGCTTCTGTTTCTCCCAACTGTGAAATGCATTTTTCGTCTACTACAGATTGCAAAACTCCTTATCAATTCCTTCTTGCTCTCGATAATTTTATAAAGTGTAAGTATATACTCGAAAGTCGTTTTAATTATATTCGAAAGAATATATTTCCAAATATATTTTACAAACTCAAATATTTTGAAGAAACCTTCAACGTTGTTGATTTTTGAGCTTTGATTGGACCAAAACTTTGATTAAAAGAAAACTAGGCATTCTTTAGAAAAAAAATTAAATCTGATTGTAAAATTTAATAAAAGAAAATGGGATTTATTGCTGCAACTCAAAGTATGAAAATACAATAAAAATAAAATGTATATGATAAATTAAAAAAATTGAAATTGTTTTTAGTTGCAATTGAACACATTTTGGAGATTTTCGAATTCATATCTTTTGTTTAGGATAAGCTCAAAATTGTTTTATTATTCTTTAGTATTTTTTTATTATTTTCAATTTATTAATAATTTCATTTATTGATTGATGTCTTAAATTACAATTTGCTCCTTTTACGCGTGCTCTTTCGTCTTGAGAACTTCAACATGTAATTAAAAAAAAAAAAATCAGATTTCTTTGCATACTTTTTGCTGCTCGCGGAAAAATCTACATTCAAATGTGGGAGCAAATCTTAGCTGAATACACTTGATGCGGAATGCACTCATTCGCATACCTCTCTGCACTGTCTGATCTCTCCTTAATTTAGTTTTGTTTTAGCTACGGTTGCGGTCAGTTCGTTCGTATTGGTTTATTATGCAGCGCGAGTAGTTGAGTTTCGATTATATAGTATTATATTTAAAATAATTGTGTGTGCATATATAAGTTATTAATTTATGTGTTAAAAAGTATCAAAATATGTTCGCCTAATTAAATCAGTGTATTGTTGTAAATAAGTGAGTTTAAAATGTGAGTAAATGTGAAATTAAGAGAAATAGAAAGAAAAAACGTCAAAGTTGCATTGAACATCGGCTTTGTCTTCAATGCCAGCGTTCTCTAAGCAAGGAATAAGTTATGGGAGAGCCAAATTTTATGTACGTATTATATATTAGTATTAAAATTTTTTTAATTTAAAAATAATTAATGCTTTTAATTGTTATGTCAAGCAATTGTGTCGTATTTTTTCGCATATTATTAATTACCGAAAATATTGCAAAACCAGCAATGATGCTTGGCTATATTTAAAAATAAATTCCGAGGAAGCTCTGCCACTTAGCTCAGCCACTTGCCGTTTACATATCCTTGAATTTATAAGCTTTTTAATTTCAATACAAAAACAATATCTCGCGTTCTTACACTTATTCTATATTTATCATATATCTCTTTTTAATTCGCTTAGGAATCCCATCAATTTTCCTAATGCAATTTCAAGCTGATAAATTTGTTTTCACATACATATACAAAAATACGCTTGAATTTCACTGCATGCATGTGAAAAATAATATAAAATGCTTGCTTGTGAATTTCCACGCCAAAAGCTTTAATATTGTCAGCGCTTTATATACCAGCTACAGGCACAGAAACATACTCTTTCGTATGCTTTCTTACCTCCAAACGTAAAACCTCGCACACTCAAGTTTACAAACAAACGCACACGCTTCAGCGCACAACATGCCGACGCTATCAACTGAAGCGCACTGGAAAAGCAAGAATAATTGCCGGTGCAATAAATCTAAGCACAAAAAAAATAATTGAAAAAAAAATAACACAAAAAAAAAGAACGAAATTGAAAATAAAAAAATTCCACAGATACTAATATGCGAAAAACGCAAAATTGCTGCCGGCAGTAGACACCTCATATGGCAAACCACCACACGCGCGGGCTGTGCTTCCACACACAAGTCGATTTTCATTCTTTAACTTACCTTCGAAGGCCGCATTGATGTCGCGTATATCGAAACTACACACCGCCGAACCGACAATGCCGTGCGTGTTGGTTGTGAAGGTGGCATAGAATTTGGTATCATCATTTGGCATTTTATATACCGATTGTATTTCATTAAAGTAGAATGGGAATTCGCTGGAGATGCTGCAATTGATGCGCGCCTTTAGATATGTCGCCCAGTTTTGACTGATCATATATTTGCCACCGCGATCGTTCTTGCAAACGCGTGCAATGCGCGAATAGATTGCTTTACCGCAATTGATGTATTCAACAGCGTGTTCGCGGAAAAAGAAATACACGTACTCGCCCACATCGAAGGATCCCACGAAATTTGGTTCTGTAAAGAAAATAAGAAAGTTTTTTTTTTTTAAGTATAAAAGGATTCATAAATTTCAAAAATTCGAATTATATATAAATAGTAGGTGTACTCGTATACATAAATTTGTAATCATTTCGTTATTGGTCTTGATTTGCCTGCATTACTAAGCCCCTCTTTTGGGTATTAGCCAGATTTAGTGTAATAAAAAAGAGATTTAACTCTGTTTTTTACTATCGTTTTCAATCTCTTTTGGAAAAAACGGGCCCTTCAAAAAAGCTCCAAATCGATCAAAATCGCAAAAAGTTAAAATCTTTTAGTTAACGGCTATACCAGCCATGGCTAGCACCTAAGACACATCTGTTCGTAGCCGGCTTAACTTTTGCTAAAAATTTCATTGTTCCAGTAATAAACCATTCCTGTTTTAGCAAGCTTTCAATAGCAACCTTCTGCTCTTTAGTTATCTCTTAGTAATTCCTGCTCTTCTTTTCTTATGAAAACTATTAATAATTTCAATCAGATGTTCAGTTTTTATTGTCAGATTTATCTTCAGCGGAATTTTTTGCACCATTGAATATCTGCAGAAATTTCTTGACTTAAAGTTCAAAAAGCTTTGCTCTTTTCTTCTCCAAAGACACACGTGCCAATATAATGATGGACTACTAAATTACAACACGAAATGCCGCCCATTCAAATATAACTTCTAACCCATTAAACAGAAAAGAAAAAAGCCGCAAAAATAAGAGAAAAAATCGATCGAACATTTATTTTTATGCTTACAAACACACAAACATTAATACTCAAATTATTTATACTCACTATCAAGCCATTTGGAATCATATTTTACGGTGCGTTTGAAGTTGTGCTCCTTCCGACCGGATGTTAAATTATATAAATCCGAGCGGAATATAACCGAATCAGCCTTGGTAAATTCAGCATTTGTGCCGGAATACTGCAATGAAAAGTGTGAGAGAGAAGGCAAAAGAGAAAGAATGAAAACAAGCGCATTAGTGCTAATACAATAGTTACTTAAGCCGAAAATAAAGAGTAGAAATAAAATTCACAAGCGCCGGCGACTTGAAATGGACCGACCGCTGTCAAGGCAAAGAAGAAAAGTGTGAAATTAGCGCGCCATTTTGGCAAAATTCGAACTCGAATTCGCCAATGCGGCAATGTCAATAGTATTATTCACCAAGAATTTGCCGCCACTTCTTGTTTTCCCAACTGATTACATAGCTTCTGCTCTGCCAACGCGTAGACGTCATGGCCACTGCCAAAGCCATTGGTAGAAAAGTGTAGTTAAAAAAAGAAAAAGAAGAGAAAAAATTGTTGGAGAAAAAACTCTTTTGGCTTTCTACCTTGTGCGCTTCCGTTCTTTGTGGGCGTATAATTTAATTCGCTCGTACGTTTCTTGACACATTTTAAAATTGTGCGGCGGCTGTAAGGCGGCGAGTGGGTGGCGGTCGGCTTGCAGGAAATGGCAGCTATTGTCACAGCTGTAAAGGACATGGCCAAAGCCGCATTTTGTATTGGCTTTCTCAAGCAAATTTTATTACAATTGAATTTTCTTTTTTTTTCAAATTCTTTTTTGGTTATCTTTTCTTGGCTCATTTACCCATTCTTTAACTTTAACGGCATTTTCGGATATTTTATTGTATTTTATTGTTGCTGCAATTGAAGTTGGTGGATAATCTGCTTTCACAAACTAGCTTACAAATGTACATGCTAAAGTTTGTACACCAGTTTGACCTTAAAGAATTAAATTTTTTTCTGTTTTTGGGCAGACTTTTCGCTTCACAATTTTTTCACCTTTTACTTTTCTTACATTTTTTTATTCCCCTTATGTACTCACCAGCGCTGGTAATCCAAAAGCATTCCCTTTCTCCACATACACCGCTGTGGAGTTGTCGGCGGGATCGTAGGGACACTTGCCAATGCCCAAGCCGATGCCAGGCACGTACTCTGATCTGGGTAAATGTGTTAAGTTGGCCTGTAGGCAAAATAATATGTATAAATGTGGGTGTGTATATGTAAGTGTGTTGGAAAAGTTTTTCGTTATATGCGCATGTATTCAATGCAGAGTCCCGTATCGTCGTCATCAGCATCATCAGCGTTGTTGGTTTGTTGGCGAAGAGTTTTCGTGAGTGCATTGAGCAAACGGTGGCAAAGGAGAAAATAAAGCAAATGCATTAGTTTTGTTTTATGCCTAAACTATAGATAAATACGAAAGAGCGAGAGAGAGACTTTGATGCGAGTAGTTAGCGTTGTTATAGGAATTTATACTGTACAAGTTGACTTCTAAGCTGTTTTATGTATTATAAATATAATGCAGGCACGAAGTTAAAAGAGAGCACAACTGATAACGGCAAACATGCCTGGACAAGGGACTCACCGATGTTCCTGGCGAAACTTGATCTAAGCATGAGCTCATGTAATTAATATTGTATGAATTTTTTGGTGCTTTGATTCGGAAAAATTAGGCATAATATAAAAATGTTACACTATCTTATAACTCCTGGTAATTCTTCAGTGAACATATATCACATTCTAAAAAGAAATTACATAAAAAAAGAATTTGATAAACTGGAAGCTAACTTAACTGTAAAAAAGGTAATAGAACGTGAATATTGGAGAGTGGATGAAGGGAGTAATTGCGAATGAAAACAATCTATACAGAGAGAAGAAAATAAACAGTACTTTCTTCCAATGGATGGACATTTTTGAAGGAAGAACGGAGGTGTGAGTAAATATCTAAAACGTGAGAATCAACGTAACCACTATTGAAGCAATGAAATTTGAAGTCAGTGCCTTGGCATCGAAGGAGAAGGGTAAAGTTTATAACTCCTGGGCGGACAAAAACGTTTGCGAAATCTTTAAAGTCAACCAAGATTTTTAAATCTGGCTTTCTAATTCTATGATATTTTATTTCACAATTGTATTTATCTATCTGAAATCTTCTCGTGATTGGCGGGGAAAATATTTCCTTATATAACATATTAAGACGAAATTAGTAAAGTCTGTATCGTGATCATGCATAACCAGTCTGTTTAGGGCACAATCTTTAGTGGTTCTAATCGCTGAATGTTTTGCCGAAAATGGAGGAATACACTAAAAGGAGCAAACACTCGCTGCTTACGGGTCATTCAGAAATTCCTGATTGGGTCCTGCCAAGACTCAAAACCATGTCCTGCCCCATGACAATACACACTGCTATCGACTCCCCCGCAGAGCTTTATAAATCTTCTAAATATATCGAGTCTTTAAATGTAAAATGTTATCATCTCTTACTGAGCCGTTTGGTTACGGAAAATTTGCTTCATTTCTAAATAAACAAATCCGAAAGATAACAAAAAGAGATCCTAGCAAAGTCCAAGCAAATAGTTTATGGTAATTATCTACTCGTATGTAGCTACCACTTTGAGACATTTCACATAAAATTTTTCCAAACATTTTGGCAAACCACATAACAAATGCCTAACCTCCACCTATGTAAATTAAGCAGCTAAAACTACAACGAAATCACAGATTTTCAACTGACAAACATTTACACATTTACACATACACGTAAGCAACAGTCCTTGCGAGCATTAAAGAAATCAATTCACGCTCAATGCAATTAAATCGAAGACATTTGCCACATAGTGACTTTAATTTAATGCCAAATATTGCCATCGTTCTGACCGCCCAACTAATCTCCGAGCATTGCTCACACCAGCGCACTCTGGCATATGTGTGAGACAGTGGAGGTGTGAGTTCAGAGTTTGTCAGTTCAGGCATTTGTCAGTCGGTTGGAAGGCTTAAATATCTCTAAGTATATCCGCTTGTGAATGCCGTTGCTTTGTGGCGCAACAAACTAATCCAGTTTTATTTGTGCTCATTTATTACACATGCATTCATACATTCGTACATACATTCGTACATACGGGCCGGAAAGTCTGTAAATAGTAGATTTGTATACATTTTTGTATATCTAAGTGTGTATTCATTTATATAATAAGAAATGTGTGTGGTAGTGGTGGCGTTAGGTATTTCGGTTCCACCGCATATTAGTTTTGCTAAATTGTGACCAGAATGTTTGTGTAATGACAACAACAAAAAGCTAACGGTATATGTACTTGTATACGTTTGCAAATATATTGGGCAGTTGTGGCCACACAAACTTAACTGCGAGCCTCATAAAAAAGCATTTGTCCTATATTGTATACCTTTTCCCCAAAAAATGTATATGTGTATGTATCTCCCAATGTCAACTTGTACTCGTAGTAAATTCTCCCAACAGCAACAGCAACAACGTCATATCAACAGCATTTAAGGCGATTCTCAAACTGTTTAGTTCTCTTTTTTGTATTTAATATATGTAATTGTAAACAGATGTAGGTATGAATGTGTATTCGTACAAATAAATAAGTGCACAAAGGCAATTTATGTTTTGTCCCATTATCTATACTCACATTTATCACGTAGTCTTTTGGATTGTGCGCATTCGTGCCGCACACATATAAACGTGTCCCAGACTCCATCGGTTGTATAACGCGTATGTGATTGCGGCATTCCACCTTCTTCGAGTAAGTTGACGGGCGTGGGTGTGTGTGTGTGAGTATGTGTAAGTAAGCATTTGCACGCGCGTATTTAATCGAACATTAATATAAACGTTGACATTGTTTACAGTTGTTGTTTTGTTGCCATATTCGTTTTGTTGGTTTCGCCATTGTACCAAAAATGAAAGTTAAAGAGACACACACGAAGCAAAGAAAACGTGAAAATAACAATAGCAAAAAGTATAAAACAAAAACCAAACCAAATGGGAGAGAGATATTGATTGAGCGAGTGGGGAGAGAGAGAGAGAAAAAACACAATTGTATATTTGTTATAAATTTCTCATTAAATTTTGAATGCCAAAAAGTGTAAAATTACGGTATTTGTTAGTATTGCTTGAAATTTAACGAGTTTTCATTAAATATATTTTTTTTTAATTAAATGTTATGGTTTTATAAAGAATTTATTTATATTTCAAACACTTGTGTTCTTTTGTTTACTTGGTTGTCAGGTGATTTAAGTGGATGGTTGGGTAATTATGAAAATTGTATATGTAATGTGTGTTGTGCATGCTCTTAAGCATATTTACAAACATAATTACGTGTTGTTAAGTGTTTGCAAATTTTGTGTATTTTTTATTTTTACTTATCACACATGCAATACATACCTCTCGTTTGCCTTTAGAGACACAACTGAGTATATCTGAACCTGATGGTTCCAATATGAGCACATCACGCTGGAAATAAAAAATAATAAATGATTAGTTAAATTCAAGAAAAGACCCGAACCAATTTAAGTATAATGACACTGTTTATTAAATAACTTTGTTCATTTCAGTTTATTTTAGCCTTAATCAAAGATGGGGGATTGCTAAGGTATTCTCGATTTAGCTGAGTGGTTAGCATTGCGTGCTGACGTTCGGAAGGGAATTTAAACCCCTCCAAGAGTATTTCGGACAAGGCGGATTGGTATAAACTGTAGGTCCTCGGCCGGAAAATCGCTTCACCGGTTACAGAGCGCCAATTATATTATATATTTACATAATAAGTGACCAATTCATACATTCAGTTACACCATAGGCTTTAATGGCAAGCCTTGAATGTTGAATTTACTAACCTCGAACTTTTACAGGCTTCAGAAAAAAATATGATAAGGTTTCTTACAAAGAGTTGTAGTTCTTGTGAAGTTTTCGTATATGGTGGTGGCCTCAGGTTAGTTTAAAATAATCATCATTTATTTATTACTCAGTCTTTGAATTTGTTTGATCCCCAAGAGAAAGAGGCCTCTTGCAAGGCGACCTAAACAATTTCGTGGGATGGCGCTATGAAACATTGGTTGCCTTAAATTTATAAATTCTAAAGATATATTCTTCTCTGGGTTGTCCATTTATTCCTTGGAATATTCGGTACACACTCACAGGCTACCAACATTTTCGACAAATAATCACCAGCTTGATTTCGTAAGAGTAAATGGAGAAAATTGCTGGCACAACAGCAGAGTGATTAGCATTGCGTAACAACATTCGGATGACCAGTGTTCGAGTCCTAGTTGAAGCAAAATCATAGAAAATTAAAAAATCTTATTGCGGTCACCCCTCGGCTGGGAATGCCAAACTTTCCGAGTGTATTTCCGACAAGAAAATCAAAGTTCCAGACCAATGATTCGGAGGCGTCTTAAAATAAACAGGTCTCACCATTAATAGTCAATATTTAAGTAACGTCTTTCTCTCTCTTCAGAGAGATCAGAATTAAGATCTTTCTCCGTCTAAGAGCCGTTACTTACAGTTTATTAACTCTCTTGTGTAAGGTTGGAAAAATCCAGTAATCTCCGAAAATCTACAAAAGTTACTGAACGTTTGACTCAAAATTTAGTCAAATTGCTTCTATGATCCCTGGAATGATTTTCCGAAAATTTCGGGAAGTAGACCAGGAGCTGAACGGTTTGATTTACTTGACATTCGACACATAGGTGGCTTTTTGCTTAGATGAGCAGAAATCTACTCTTCTCTCAAGAAAGTGTACCGGAGATTATCCTATTCAAAAATTCTCCCCGAGTTATGATAAATCTTCATGTCACATGCTTAATATTTCATACGTCCAATGAGTATGTGATAAAGTTGTTGGGAGGAAAGATTAAAAGTCGATCTATATGTGGTATCAGCTTCAACATCTCTTTACCAGTGTTGGAACACCTTAAGCCTGTGATATTTGGCGCATTCAAAAGAATGTTTGAAAGGCACGATCCTTTCCGAGTTTTAGGCAGTGATTTTAAAGTAATTTCTTCCACTATTGACTAAATTGACACTCCACTATTTATCTTTTTGGCTTCATAACCTTATTTTGAATTTGTGCTCGCTTGTAAGCAAATCTGTAGGTGCTGCGAAGGAAGTTTTGCCGCTATTGATTTCGAATTGGGAATTTTCGCTGAATTGTGTTCACTGGACTGTCCAAAATTCTGTTTATCTTCCTGAGTTGCCACCTGGTACTTTTGCCGGATGGTTGGCCCATAGTAAAAGCAAAAAGTTAATTGTGGATCTATAATTTAACCATAAATCGCCTTACAAACAAACAACGGTTGCAAATTATTGAATTTTATTATCGAAATGCGTGATCTGTTAAGAAAGATAAAATAAAATTTAGTTCTGCGGCGAAGCTCATGACTCATTGGCTTAATGGGGGGGGGAGGGGTAGATAAGCAGAATTGTCGCTTTTGGATTGAAGATCAGCCAAAAGCATTGCAAGACCTACCAACGCATTTAGAAAAAGTCGCAGTTTGGTGCGGTTAATGGGATTGTGGCCTCATTGGACCGTACTTATTCAAAGATGATGCGAATCGTAACGTAATTGTGATTGGTAAGATGATATCAAACTTTGCCCAAAATGCAAGAACTTGACTAGCGTAACATGTGGTTTCAACAAGACTGTGCCACATGTCACATAGCACGCGTGACAATGAACTTATTGAGAGGCGAGCCCGGTGAACATTTTATTTCACGTTCGGGACCGGTCAATTGACCGCTTAGATCGTGCAATTTAACGTCTTTTAACTATTTTTTGTGGGACTATGTTAAATGTTATGTCTACACAGACAAGCCGCTTCAATGGGCCAGTTGAGGCGCAATCACGGTCAATATTTGCATGAAATAATCTTCAAACATTAACGGTCCATACACGTACTGTCGAGTCAAACAAAGATTTCATGCATTTTTCCGAATTTTTGTAAAAACTTTCCTATAGCTCTTAAAAGATCACCCTTTAGAAACTCAGCCCGGTTATAAAGACGTAATACTGTTTTCAAGATTTTTGTAAAATAATTGGTTTATGGCTCGAATTAGTCAATTCTTTATGCGGAAAGAATATATTTATTACAAAATTAATCAGAAATGCTGCCTAAACAATATTATGAGGTTATTTGTATTTGTACAGGAGGAGCCCATTTATTTTACACAACCGTTCGGGTCTCGGTACGTTATGTGTGAGTAATTTACAAAAAAAAAAAACTTTCACCTAATAGCAGCAAGGAATTTAATAAAAAAAAATTGTGTAAGTCATCATTTATAACGGAAAATTCATTTCTCACGTAACTTGAAGTTTTATTAAGAATAGAATAGACACTCGACACACTTTCATTTGTTGTGGTAGTCAAATTTCTTGGCCCATATGTTGGCATGACTTAATAAAAACTGTAGTAGCCGCATCTACACATGCATATATATAAGAAAATATCGGAGAAAATGCCAATGTTTTGGAAGCCTTTATGTTTGCATACTCGTATGTGTGTATATAAGCCACGTCTTAAGCACACATGTGAATATATCCTCAACCGTTATACAGCACTTTTTTTTGTTTATTCAACACTCCATATTTGCTTACATTACTTTCCGCTTACTCTCTTTCTCTGACTGACCGTCCCTCCAACGGTGTTTGAAGTTTGCCGCAACTTGGCTACAAATGTGAATAAAGGATATATTCTCAATATAGCAGATACTCAAGTGCAATGGAGGATATCTTCTCGACGCTTCTGACGCCCTCTTCAAAACAAGCACTTCAACGGCGCATCTCAACTCAGTCGCACTTATATCGGATTAATACAATCTGGAGTGGTAAAAATGTTCGAACGGAAGAAAAAAAGAATGCAGAAATGAAAAAGTTAAGTGCTGGCAGAGAGGAAGATGAAAGATACATGCATACAATCAAACATCAGAACAGATTTTTGCTTGAATGCGATTGGGCCATAGTGAGAATAAGTCAAGCAAGCCCGAATACTTGCTGTAAATGGAAGAAAAACAAGATAGCGGTAAAAAGACTGCAAGCACAAATTGTGCCAGCCATTGATGTGCGGAGAGTCTTTATGTATTAGAAGATGAGAAAAAATCGAGTTCAAATGTGGCAAATGAAAAAGTAATAAAAGCTGAACTTGAACTAAAAACGGAAAAGGATATTGATAGTTGAAGACGAAGTCATTAGATTGTGAGGAGTGCTCAGAGCCACATATATATGCACATATATGTTTACACACGCACATATATAAGAGCTGCATATGCATGAAAGCACATTTCCTTCTTCACTCTTCGTTATCTTCTTCTTCTGGCCATTTTGCTCTTTCCCTTGCTTAATTTTATGCGGTAATGGTCCGTAATGGTGGGAAAAATATTATCAACCGATTGGCTTCAGCTGTTGGTCGAACACCAGCAGCAGAAACAAGAGATGAAGATTCATAAAAAAATGAAATAAATAAAAGAAAATGAGCAAATGAAATGGCGACTTAATTGGTCGGCAAGCAATCGAAAATGCATAGGCGGCCAAGCGCCAAGCAATCGAATGGTCATAAAAGGCGAAAGAAAATCACGAGCAGCAGACGTGAAAGAGCAACCAAGTAAATGTGTGTGCTATGAAAGCAAGATGAGAAAATATTTAATATAAAGATGCAGAAGTGTTAAAGTATTGTCGAAGGCTCAGAACCTGCTGAACAGTTATTTACATGCAGAAGTACAGGTCCGTATGTATTCATTCCGAAATGGGTGAGGAAATGACAGTAGCTTGAATGCTGCTTTTTTTATTGAAAAGCTTCCTTTCGCTGTATTATTGAAGAAAAGGATAAAAAAAAATAGTTTCAGAGAAGAAGTAGCAGAAAGGCATAGGTATTTTTTTTTTAATTTTTTTTTGAGATTTTCTCATAAAGTTTCTGAGCAAAATGTATATTATTTATAACGAAAAAAGTACATTTTGACAGTCTTTTTTAGACTGAAATGAGCACTTCTTTCGGTTTAGAATATATTGTTATAGAGAGTTTCTTAAGTTTCTGATCAATTTCATTCACGTTGGCCAAATTCCAATTACTCTGATGGTTTTGCCGTCTCAAGTACTTTATAAAGCTCAGATAATTTTTTTGCTTATCGTTTGTATTTATAGCTAGGGCTCTGAGGGCAAAGCAACGCAATAACTGAAGATAGCAGTCAGTATTACTTTGAGTTTTGATCGACTTTAACGCGAGTTTAACGGGTTCAATTCGGTCGGAAGGTGACATGGGTTGACTGGTTTGCTTGTAACACTCGTTTAATCCTGTCTCACTACCAGCTACAATGCATTTTATGAATATGAAATAGATGCTGCTTCGTTCAAGCAGTTTTTCAGCGAACTTTACCTTCTTTAACTTTTGCGATGCTGAACTCAATTGGGGACGAGTTGGCCAACCAGAGCGAAGCCAATATTTTAGCACATTTGACACCTGACAAGGACTAGAAAGATTGAGTACTATAAGGAAATCCCGACCTTTGTACAGAGGACAATTTTTACAGTGAAGAACTTTTGAAAAGAACGTTAAATGAAGTTTTTAAGTGATGAATTCCTTTAAACCAGATGAGCTTTACTGTTTCAAATAACACAGGTATATACCACACTTAAGTGAATTAAAAATTTATCTTAAATCTAAGTCAGTCATCCAATTGGAATCTTTCGATCGGCTGGCAAAATTTTCCAACTCCACTCAGTTGCCTTGCACACTTGGCTCATTTTTCAGTTCTTCCTGTTTAGTCATCAAAGCAAAATCAATTTTCATGCTTGCGTAATAAAATTTTTCTTAAGCGCATAGACGGTAAAAAGAAAACAACACCGAAACGTGTACAAATTTCCGCACGTAGCCCAACCAATAAATAGTATTGGAAAAAAAAATCGACTTTTCACGGGCACACATACAATTAAAGGAGAAGTACATGTCAAATAAGCACACATACAAGAGATAATACATTTTTATATACAAATACAATTCCAGCTACACACACATACACATGTATACTTGTATATGAAAATATATATTTTTCAAACAAATTTTCGATTCACTATTTGGTATTCAATACGCTCATGCTAGAGCTACTGTCTGGTGCCGCCGAGCACAAGTCAAGTGACTCCGTCAGTGCCATGGTGAACATCTAACTCCCTCCTCCCTCTCTTTAACGAAAACACAGCAATGATTTTCGGTCGCATTGCAACGGTGTTTGGGAGGACATGGGTGGCGCAAACGAAAAATCGAATTAAATAAACAAACGTGTAACGTGAGCAAAATACCAAATGACATTTTAAATGGCGGCGCATTCAATAGCGTTCGAAGCTTTCACCAATATTTCTATACATTTTTGTTTTTCGTCTTTTAAATATTTTTCAAAATATAAGTCTAATTGAATATACATATGTATATGAGAGTTTGCTTTTGTGTTTGTTGTGTCACTTTGCTGCGAATACACAGAACTCTCCTCGGATTTTCTTCCAAGCGATTATGTCTTTCTCGGTCACACTCTTGTATATTTAAACAGTATTTTGCTGCTTTTCTTTCATAAATTCTTTTTTAGCATTTTACAATTGTTGCTTTAGCCGGCGCCCATTGCACAAGCACGCTACAATGTTGGGAAAAATATTTCGAAAGCGTGTGTTGAGTGTGAGTAGTGGAAATAGTATCACGATTTGTATAAAAGAGCGCATTTAATAAATAATTTTTTTTTTTTTTGGACCACTATTACGCATTTAGGGACTTATTTTTACACAGTCGAAAAAAAAATGTAAGAAGCGCCAAGCAATCCGTTTGGATCCCTTGGTAATGACCGAAGGGAAAGCAGCTTCAGTGAAGCAACTCCGACGTATTGAGTTCCAGGGTTCCTTGAAATTTGATTGTAGTATTTGCTGTTACACGCAGCGTGGTTGGCCGGTGAGTTTGGAACCCATCACTAAAAAAAACGAGTGTAATGAAAAGAGGACAGTAGTGGTAGTTCTTCCTTTCGATGATAGTATATGATAGTTTATGTAGGCCTACGCTAATTACGAAGGGAAAGACACAAACTGAGAATATTAGATTTCACACGGAGACCCTAATATGCATATGCACCTTAAAGTACCATTGCATTTTATATTAAGACAAAAATTTTTGCTCACTTGTCCTTACAAGTTTATATGTGCATTGTTGGCTAGGCGGGAGCATATCTTCTCTACCAATATGAGAACACAAAACGAACCACTGAAATCCACCTGCTGTAGCCTAATAGAAGTCTGTGTTTGCCTCTTTGGATTTCGAAAAATACGTATAAAGGATTGCAACCCGTAAGAGACTGCTAGAGCTAACCAGTTTGCAGAGATTTTGCCCATTGTCATATTATTTTTATTTTCGAGATGCTGACGTGTATTTCGCTCATGCATTCGAATGCTTGAAGTTGCCTTTTGCGGCAACATAGCTCGAAAACCAAGCCAAGCATTTGCTTCAGGTATACGAAACTATTGAACTCCATTGCTTTTTAGTTCCCCTCTCTCTTTATACTGCCTTCCTACTTGCAATCAGTTACACTACTGTGTTCATACAATCTTTTTACAACAGCAAGCTAGTTGCAGCGTGTGTGTGTGTATGTGGGTGACACATGTATTTATATTTCTTCATTTTCGTATTTATATAAACTTTTCTTATTTTTGTTTACTTATTTTTTGCTTCACTCGAGTGAAATGTCTTCCTCAACCGCGTTCTGCTTGATTCACTTCCTGCTGTGGCGTTTCAATAGCTGTTCGGCTGCTTCGATTCATTGAGCTCCACAGTTGGTTGGCTTGCCTTTGGGAGCACTTTCGGAGAAATTTTTACTTTGATATTGCGCTTTCATTCGAGCAGAATAATTGCTCTTACAGCACTTTCATCTTATAGAATATATATATTTTTATACCCCTCATGTACATAAAGTGGTATATTGCATGCAAGCACCAGAAGAGAAAGAAACGGACGCAGAAAAATTTATACGATCGAGTCACAGTGAGTAATTTAATTATGGCATTTCCGTTTTTGCACGATCAGTTGTCGGAACCGAGCCCCCTAGCATATATATGACAAACTTTTCAGATTTTGAGAATTTTAGTTGTAAATTTATCGCAAAAATAATCTAATAGCGTGAGTTTTTCACCAAAATGATGTATTAGATAAACGATCGCAATCGGGTGATTGCAACACATACTTCCCATACTTCAATTTTTTTTTTAGTTATACGATTCAAAATCCGTCATGAGCATCGAATTAAGTATCATATTTATATGCGTACGTACAATAAATTATTATCACCAAAAGTCATCGCAATCGGAGGATAGCTCCATGAAACCTATTCCTTCAGACATGAGATTTTGGGTAAAAAACATGAAAAAAACATCTGAAATAATCGAAATCGGGAAACCTAAACATATAGCACCCTATAACCAAATTTCCAGATATCGCATTTAATATTTAATCCTAGAACGAAATAACTCGTTATTGGTCATGAATGATAAGTACATACTCGTATGCACATATGTGTAAAGACATCACCATTGGCGACATATTTTTTTTCTTCATTTTTTATTATTTTGCCTTTTCTGTCTTAAATTTAAGTTTTATTGCTCCGTTGTACTTACCTCACAAATTGATTGACTGATGTTCTGTAAATTCAACCGAAATATGCGGTCCCTGGAAAAAGAGAAAAATCTGTTAGTAATTTTTGAAAGAATTCAATGTATTTTGTAAAAATTATTGCATATTTCAAAATTTCCTCCGACTTGTGCCAAAATAGGCAGTAAATGCTTTTATTCCCACACACAATTCCTCAACTTAAGCTAAGCCGATACAACAAATTATTTTGAAGTCATGAAAAAAATTAGATTGAAATCATTTTGCTCTCAAAAGTACTAAAATATATAAAATATTTATGGTTACCCTCAGCGATCGCCACTTTCACATTAACTGTAAATTATTTGTATTCATTTAACCTTTTACCATAAATCTAATTTACAGTTACAAGTTACAGTCCAAGGTCTTCACCTTTAATTTAAGCAATTAGCAGACTTGAACATTGATCTAACTCAACACATATCCTGTTGAGGCCAAAGAGGGCGAGGAAATGCTAAGCAATATATTACGGATAGCTAACAAACAATAACAACAAAAATACAAAAGCTCCGAATGTTACATTGAGGAAGAGATAAAGAGGAAAGGCTATGGGAGGAGGGTGTGAGACATGGGCAGAGTCCGATAGCGACATTAAATAGTTGGTGGTATTGTTTTGAGAATTATTGCTGACGGTCAAGTTGAGTGCAGATACATACACATACATACGAGTATATCTTTGCAGTGGTTTTCAATACAGAGCAAAGAATGCCGACCATAACTCACCAGCACACAAAGGATGTAATACTCACAAGCACAAATACACACTGAAACTCACACCAACCAATTAACACCAGCATATTCTCGTATTTACCAACACAAAAGCCTAACACAATACATAGGCCAAGACCATGCCTGCCAGCCAAACGTACTGATTTATGAGCAAAAGGTTCAGTAACGGTCAAGTTGAAAACTTTTTAATTTTCAACTTTTCACTTAGCAACAGCGTTGAAACGTTAGCGGCGTTAAGAAACTGTATTGCCGTAAATATGTCCGTACAAAAATATAAAAAATTATAATTTATTATTTGAGAGAAAGTGCTTTTGGCAAAGCTTTTACTATAAATTTTCCACAACGTTTTAAAGCGTGCTCAAAGAGAATTATTTTCAAAGCGAAATTAATTTAAATTGCTTTTAAATTATTCATTAGCTTGCATTAGAAAGTATCAGTTTTTCTTATTTTATAATTTAGAAAGCAGAGGATTAAACTTCAAAACAAATTAAAGTTCTATTAAATAGTTAGATAAAAAGTAAATGTCAACCGTGTAGCACTTATGTGGAATAAAACCCTTCAATACATTTAGCTATAACTTCGAGCCGAAGTGCAATATTTGCCATTTGCAGGACGAGTGAGAGCAAAGATTTCTGTACCACCTTTCCAATTTGTTTCGATTCTCCTCATCTTCTGAACTTATATAAAATATATTACTTTTTTTGCTCTTCTCCACTTTTGATTTTTGTCTATTCCTTTCGGCTTGCGCTATGTGAGGGCATAATGCGGTTAAATTGTTCCCCAACTGCAATCATTACTCTTCATTTCACTGATGCTCTTTCCTAAAGTAGTCACTGGCATTGCAAAGCTGAGTGAAGAAGGGAGAGGTTCTTGGGTGCGAGCAGATGTCATGCACATATTTGTTTTAGGTATCTTCCTAAAAATGAATTGGGATGCCGTAGAATGCTTTTTTAAATGTTTATTGTAACCGAATCAATGATTTTTAAAATTAAAACTTATTATAAACGTTATTATGATGAGATTTTTCTTGCATTTGAATAATTTGAAATTTGAAGAAAAGATATTTTTGTAAAATTCATAAGGTCTTGACCTTTCTCGATAAGTCAGATCCTTCTTTACTGCATCCACTGAAAAACTTATTATCTCATTATCTGCAGTATTCGGTAAATACCATAAATCTTCCGCCGAACCTTTCTGTCGAAATCTGCTAATGACGACTCGCCGGTCAGGTATCCGCACCATAGAGTACGACTAGAACGATAAGCGACTTCTAGAAGGTTTTATATTCATCGATATGGCTATTTAGATTTTCTATTTCCAAATCAGTCCTAAGAAGGATATGTTGACAATAACCATTCTGCGTTGAATTTCAAGGCGGAAATTATTATTGCGAGTAATTCTTGGTCTAAATTAAAAATGCATCTGATGCCTCGAAATTAGAAGAAAACTGAACTAATAGTGCAGGCTTTGAGGCTGACGGGCCCTATATAAATTTGTGTATTCTCTATTTACCTCGGCAGCTCTTATTACTTTCTTACACATTAAGGTAAAGAAGTCGCACAATCAGAAAACTCATTTGGTATCGAGCGGCTCACAGCGGTCCTTCTTGATGCTGAAGTAGTTTCTGGTGTTGATGAGCTTCAGTTTACACAATTTTAAAACCGGTGGTTTACTAGACTTGACTGTTGGTGTAGAAGTGGTCAGTTTTGGATTTAACAGAAATTTTAGAAGCCAAACTGAAAAGACTCTGTCGTGTTCATTGATCTTTCTTGCAGCGCAGCTGATACATGTAGTTGCTCGCCATTATCTAAGCCCGAACACATGCAGCGATGACTCGTAGTTCAATTAAACTATGATGAGGTGTGTTCATCGACATTTTTTCACTCAGTAACAATCGTTTCAAATCCTGAAATAGTTTGCGCAATTTCCTTTATTGCTATACTAGTATTTTGGATGCATTATTTCTCTTTGCTCACACTTGAATGTACACAAGTAAAGAATCATTTGTACCCCTCAGTGAAAAGCTTATCTAGTGTTTAGCAATTCTGGTTCAAGAATAACTTTGTGTCAACCTCAATACCACCACTATACTATAATTTGACATTTCTTTTACATCGTCACAAAGGCCTAGAGATTGAGGTTTGTCACTGTCGCACTTGGAAATCGCGTTTTGAATCAGCAGGTAATTTTCTTTTTTCTTATGTCTTTGGTTGGTTGAAGCGAAAATTAACATGTATAAATTAGCAACTATTTAGATAGAATGAAAGGACAGCCGGAGGTTTGTCAAAAATACCAGTTGCTTACCAGTTCAGTTGATGAAAGAAAAACTAATTGGTGCAAATATACAAACTGGTAGTATTCTAGTTCACAACTAGTATCTTTTCTTACGGGGTATTCGGCAATAATGTGTACATAAAAACGCACTTAGCAGTTTTGCTCATGCCTCAGCTTATTTTATACCCTCGATACTTCAAATATTCGGCGCTTGTTAGGCTGCAATTAATTACTTTCTTCAAAAATTCTAAACTCAGTGCAGACCTTCATCATACTCACTATGGTATTACATTAGCGTTGGTTTTGTTGTTGCCAAATTTGAAACTGTTGTAAAAATATTTGAGTTTGTGCACATTTTGCACAAAGCGGTCGCATATTTCATAATTTTAGTGGAGTATTGCGCGGGAAAGAGAGAGGCAAGGAGGGCGATCCCGTATGATGTCGTATAAAATGCAATAAAGGATTGATGAGCTGAAGGGTGTGGCAAATATTACGGTGGGCACCACAACAAAGTTTGAAATTTATTCTTTACTTTTTAATTTTGCTTAAAATTTGCAGCTTCAATGAGAGCATTGTCTATAATTTGAGCCAATGAACTATAATATTGGTATTCCCCTTGTATACTCTAATAAGTATATTTCGGGCAGCAATCTTAAATTATATATATATAACTGGCACTTTGTAACTGAAGAGATTTCCGGCAGTGCTCCTTCTCCAACTTGTGGTGTTGCGTCTTAATGTCCTGCAACGACCTACAGTTTAAAATAAGCCGTCTCCGAAGGGTTGACCGTTTTTAATGAGGAGCCTTTTTTCATGTCAGATTTACTTTCGGAGAGGTTGATATTCTCTGCCGATGAGCAATCCCAATTAGAAAATTTAGCTTAATTTAATATTTTTATTTAAATTGATTTTCTATAATTTTTTTTGATGTTAGTACGACACCAGGCTTCGAATGGCTGTACGCAATGCCAACAACTCGGCTACCACGGCCGCCCATACATGCATATATTTATAAGAATTGTAGGAATACTTACATGGCTCCCACATAGAGCGCATTATTATTTTCATCGAAATGAAATGTTTTGTAGTAGAGGAGACCACAGCTAAAGTCTTTCACAGGATCTGAAAAGGTAAAGGTAGATAAACACATTATAATATTGTTATGTTTGGGCCATTATTTAATATTAAAAAAAAACATCATTATATTTTTAAAAATGTTAGATTTTAATTTGAAAAAATCTAAAAGTCATAACAACCATTTTTAAGGGCTCGAAATATAATATTATTGAAAGTCATTATAATAATAACATATTTAATCTCCTCTCTATGTGTATGTTATTCATTATTGGTTGTATATTGAACTAAGCATTTCCATTTTGGTTGTTTTATATCTTAATTTTTGTCTTCACTCTGACCATGTCGTTAGGAACAATACATTTTTTCGCTAATTGTGCTGACTGCAGGCTAATTTCGTGGCATATTTCACAGACTGACACAGTGAATGTCCAGTGGCGACACTCACACTCGCATTGAAATGCGCTTACGTACATACAAATTGGCATCAGTGTCAGTGTTGACATAAATGCCACTTCCAAACACTTTTCCTCATCACGTAATTGTTGTTGTTTACGTATTTATTATAGCTCATGGTGGAAAACAGTCGGTGTCTATTATCCATGACCGCGGCGGCATCATTGCCATGGTCGAGAATAGGTTACATACATACATACATACTTATATGAATACTCGAACAGGCCGAGCAGACTGTGATAGTAAGTACATTGTGAAAAGTAGGCAATTTCGCAACAATAACAACAGCATGTCAATTTGAGTGAGAGTACAGTGGACCTTTTGGGAAGTTGTGTATGTATGTGTGCTAGTGTTTTGCAAATAAGTGAAGTGTGTTGTAAATTTTAATCACGCCACGTACGCAAGTCACGTACAGTAAGTGTGTGCGTGTATGTTGATATATTTACATGACGATAGGGACTCACTGAGAGCCTATGCCGATCCTGACCCTCCCAACTCATAAGTCCAGTAGTTCAAGCCAGTATTGGACAGTGTGAGTTTAAGCATGCAAATTTATTATGATACGTGTTGTGTTTGTTGTTGTGTTGGAAGTTACGTGCACGTGATATTTTGTGGCGCATTAACCAGTCACTTGATGACGCCCAAAGGGCAACACGAAGGAAGCAAAAAAAATGCAATTAGCTAAAGTTATTGCCATAAATTTTGTAGCTACTCAACGCGACCATAAATAACAACAACAACGGAAGAGAATACTAATATTGTGGAAGTGAAATCAGTTACTTAAGCCTTAGCAATTAGTTAGAGGCGAAAATTGCGAAAAAAACAGAATGAAATATTATAAACAAAAATGAGCAATACAACGAGCGAAAAAGAAAATAAGAAAAGTTGCATAAAATGAAGTTACGCTTCCTTGAATGAAGTTTGTGTAAAAATCTAGCAAAAGAAGACATTTTTAAAAATTTTAAGCGCTGACATGTTGACAACTCTGCCAGAGAGGTACCCACGCCATAATGGGTGGAATAAATTCAAGTGCCCTACAAGGCAAATGCCTTTTATGCATGCTAATGGACACAAGTACAACACTAAACAAACAAAAACAGTTACATAAAGTAATAAATATAGATGGAAGAGAGACACTAGAGAAAAACTGCGTTAGACCATCAACATAAAAGTGTGAAAAAGGCAGCAGTTTCCCAGTCACTGTTCACTTTAAAGTCACTTGAGGGTGCTGCTTATCAAAATCGGGCTTAAAAAAAATTAGCACAAAAAGTAGATCCCGAAATAAAATTAAAAACAAAAAAAAAACAGAATAGCGAAGAAAATCAACAAGAGCATAATCTGTTAGAAGAAAGTAGCAAAAAAATTCACTTAACACTTGACCACGCCTACACAAATTTACAATAAGAGAAACAACCCAAAATGCAAAATAGCAGCAAATTGTGTCACAGCACGCCTGTTAGTATGCAATGGCTGGTTGAGCATTCTGCTGGATATACAGTTATACTGGATGTATTGTATATTTTCAATACAGCGAAGGACGACGGCAATATCTATACCAGTGAAATTGAAAGCGAAGCAATAAAAGAGTCAAATAGCAAATAAGCCAACAAAAAAAATAAGAAACAGCCAACAATATAAAAAAAAAATCAACTAAAATGACAAAAGCAAATCTAACAAAAGTCTTTAAGAACTAGAACAGCAATAAAAAAGCTTCTAACAGAATAACACGAAAGCGTCAGCTGTAACAACATTACTTACTTACTAACTTAACTCAGCGTAGTCTGTCACCCCCGTCGAATGGCAATAGTAGCAGCAACATCATAATAATAACAGTATTAGACTTAGAAGTGATTTGCATAGCAATGAATTGAAAATAGAAATAGCAGGAGCGAGTGAGACAGTTGTGTGCATAAAAATATTAAAATGCATACATATATATAAGCATGAGATGTACTTATGTATAAAAAGAGATAAATAAATTCTTTAAAGAGGAGACTTGATATATTTTGTATAATTTTTCTCATAAATTCATTTGTGAGATCAAAAAAACTCAGGCATTTCCTTCAAAATACTAATGCTTTGAAAAATCTATATATGTATATATTTAAATTAAATTTAAAACTAAGTGATATAGACAACTTCATTGCTGTGATGAAAAACCAAATACCTGAAACAAATATTAAAAATTTATTTTAATTTTTTGATTCAAAAATTACTCAGACAATACATTCTATTTCAAAATTCATTCTCTACAATTCTAGTACAAACGAAGCCACTTTTCCCATAAACCGTATTTAAATATTTGCAAATCAATTTGTCAGTTCATTGCTGAGCCAACTGGCGTAGCAAACAAAAAAGCCAAATTATGCCAAAATATATATATATATATATATATATACATAAAAAGTAGTTAAGTGAAGTTGGCAGGGCGAATAGTAATGGTACATTGAAATAAAGCTAAAGTCAGCCAATTTGCCTATTTAAATATTGACCTTTATGCAAATTAGTTGCCAACTGGCCAAAATGTCACAGCATAACATAGCACAGCACAGCACAGCACAGCAGGGAGCAGTCAGCGCAGGCAGCAAACAGCAGCTCATAAAAAATACAAGCAGAGCCAAAAATTACTAACGACCACACTAATACCAATGCAAATCAGTTAATAAAACAAAATTTTAATGTTTTATGTTGTTGTACATACACTTATATAATCACAAAATTATGCATTTTTACGAGCAACATTTATTGCTGTTTCATTTATTTTTTTGTGTTTTTTTTTAATGTCTATTTGGGCAACCGCGACAAGTCGGCGGCAACTTTATTTGTATGTGTGCAGTCATAGTGTATAAAGATAGATATTTTTGTTCTATTTGAAAGTTACATAATAAATTGAAAATATCTCCATTGAAACGAGGAAACTTCATTGATTTTTTTTTAGTTATTTTTTGAAATATAACTAATAACTTATTCATTTTAAATTTTAAAAAATATTCGTGAGAATAAGAAGCGAACGAATAGCGCTGCTGAAATAATCTTGTTTGTAATATTTTATTAATTTTCCCCCTATATTAAAATGAAACAAAAAATAGTGCAAAGTTTTTAAACTAATTTTCTTTCATTTTAAAATCATTCTTTTTCAAATGCCGAAGAAAACCGCTCGTGCGCGTCATTCCAAATAAAGCGTACACGGCGTATAAGTATCCTTCGAATGACTTTCGCACACTAATGGCATATGCAATTTCGGATAAATAAATAACGGAGAAAAAAATGCGCAAAATAAGATTACCTCTACTACACTAAATACATTAAATTTCCAAACACGTCTGTCAAAGCAAAAATTCACACTTTAGCTGTCAAGCTTAACATTCAATTATCCAGCCCCACTAGAAACCCACTTCAGCAAATTCACTTAAACCGTATTAGTGTTTGCTGAATACTACATGCATACCCTCGCATATTCAAACATACAAATGCACACATAGCCGAACAAACGATTGTAATGTTTTCTTTTGCTCTCCTGTCGTTTTTTCTCCTTAAATATATTTGTTTTTCCTTTTTTATTCTCTATTTCTATTTCATTTTTATTATACTACTGGAGCGAAAAAAAGTGAAAATCCTTTTTTCGCACGCACATACGAACATCTTTCCGCACATCACTTAATTTACACAATGCGGAATAGGTTCTGATGTGTGTGTGGGCGAAAGAAAAACGACCTAGCGGACAAGAGGTCTTTTTCGCCTGTCAGAGCAGCAGCAGAGGAAATCGAGTGCGTTGGCCCAGAACGCAGTAGTATTGAAAAACGTAACTTTTCTGAGCTCAGTAGTGGGTTTCAAATTCTTAAAAGTCCAAATTTCTTAAAAGATAAAAAGCAAAAAAATTTATTTTGTATATTTTTAAAATTGTTTTTATTTCCTGAAATGAGCACTTTTCTAATACCTCTCTGTATATAACATATTTTTTCTAATCAAAGGGTTAAATCTGAATTAATAATTTCAAAACATTTAGAGTAGAAAGAATCTCAGCAGCCGAGTTTTAGACGTGATTAATTTCTTTCGAAGGAGGCTTGTTTTGTTAAAGCCTCCTTTCACATAATATGTCCAAAAATTAACTGGTGGCTTTATACTAAAAAAAGATTGTACCCGAAAAAATTTCAGAAATAAAAATTCGCCAATAGAGAGATGTTTGCGTCGTTGCTGGCACAAAAGCGTGACCTAGAAATGCAAATACTGATGCTTGAATACCGAAAATTTAAATAAACCCACACAAGTTTTATATTCACGCACAGAAGCACACACGTGTGAGTACACATGCATATGAGCATTATGCAAAATATTCAACTATAGCGTGTCACATAGCTCAGTGACAGAAAATAAAAATGTTGTGCGCTTTAACGTCATTATTGCCTGCCAAACGAACGCGTTAACATATGCTGACTATTAGCTGTATGACTGTTTGAGTGGCCTGCCTGTCTCATGCGATATTTGACAGCCAACGCAACCCAACTCAAATGCTGCTCATTGCCGTTGCTGCCCCTTTGCCGAAGATCAAGTTGAATTTCAATGGATATATTTGCTTTTTTCGGGGACGATTT